TAAATGTGCATACTCTCAGAACTTTGCTGAATTAAACTGAAGGCAACACTTTCTTCTTTTAATCAAAATTATATTACGTTTTCACATAAGCATCATAATTCATACAGGATATAACCAGCTATTTTCCTGCACATCTGCATCTGAAACATTTGAATGGTCCCATCACACCCCACGATGCAGACAGGACTATACACTCCATCCCTCCCCTCCAGCAGAAGCTAATCAGAAGGAAACAAAGCCAGAATAACAACTCAACAGAGATGCAACAGGCAGCCTCCTCTGTGTGGGGGGATTAGGTAAAGGTTTCCCTTGCTTGAAAGCCAGTCGAGTCCGACCCTAGGGTTGCGGTGCTCATCTCCGTTTCCAAGCCGAAGAGCCAGCGCTGTCCGAAGATGTTTCCGTGGTCATGTGGCCAGCATGACTAAACACCAAGGCGCATGGAATGCTGTTACCTTCCCACCAAAATGGTACCTATTTATCTACTTGCAATTTCTTGCTTTCGAACTGCTAGGTTGGCAGGAGCTGGAACTAGAGACGGGAGCTCACTCCGTCCTGCGGCACACTTGGGTCTCAAACTGCTGAACTACCGACCTTCCACAGCCTGCAGTTCAGCGTCTTAACCACCTGCGCCACCGCAGCTCCGTGTGGGGATTACTGATAGACAATTGGATACTCTCATCTCTCCCCTTCAGGAGTCGCAATTTCTTTACCTCATGTCAGGGTCCCCAACACGGTGCCCGAGGGCACTCACCAACACCTTTCCTGGTGCCCCCAGTGCTTTTAGAAAGTGGGCTTCTGATTGGCTGAACAGATTTTTTAACAGTGTTGCTTTGGCAGCCGCTTCCACCACAGGGATCCTCACAGCACAAGGATCCTCACTGTGTGACTGAATGTAAGCCGCAGCAGCCATTTTGTGGCTGGCTCCGCCTCCGGTGGCAGCCGTGCCCACAGCCTTCAGAATGCCAAAGGCGCCTGCAGGCTCAAAAAGCCGGAGGCTCCTGCCTTTCGTCTACCCCACCTTCTCAATCCATAACGCAGCTTACATTCTTGTTTCTAAAAATCCGGCAACATACACGTAAATATTCAAAAACACTAGAAGCCATCCGGCAGACATCAAATGATCCAAAGCAAGAGGGAGAGAGGAAACGCTGAGAGAGGGGGAAAGCTGGCAGTGCTGGCCGACCCTTCAAAAGACTTTGCAAATGTTTGTCTCACCAGTTTCCTGAAAGGAACAAGAGAGAGGGGAAGCTTGTTTGGTCTGTCCCACGGTGCCAGGGCAAAGACAGAACAGGCCGACTTCTTAGAACTGCTCCGCGGGCCGTCGGAGACGCCAGATACGTCTTCAAAGTATCCCAGGATTCAAACATACACAGAGGCTCACGTAGGAGCAGATATTATCTTAAGTACCCATCCAGGGTCCCAGTCGGCAGCTAGGCCTGAACAAGAGCCTCCTTCTAGCCCAACAAAACCAATATTGTAGTGCCCCTGTTTAGATCTATGGTGCAGCCTCATTTGGAATACTGTGTACAGTTCTGGTCACCGTCTCTCCAAAAGGACACGGCAGAGCTGGAAAAAGCTCAGAGGAGGACGACCGAGAGGATGAAGGGATTGGAGCACCTTCCCTGCGAGGAAAGGCCAAAGAGTCTGGGGCTTTTGAGTTTAGAAAAGAGACGGTTAAAGGGGGGACATGATAGAGGTTTATAAAATTATACATGGTGTGGAGAGTGGTGACAAAGGGAATTTTTTTCTCCCCCTCCAAAAATACTAGAACTCAGGGGCATCCAATGAAGCCGAGGGGCAGGAGGTTCAGGAGACAAAGGGAATCAGGAGACATGTGAAGGGGCCAAGGTACAGAATTGACCTCCCAGGGCCTGCCCTATCCCGTATTTTGAGGGGTTCGTGGTTTCATTTTTTAAACAGCGCTTTCCGTTTCCAAAGAGCTCGTGCTTTTGAAGAAGTGTACCTTTGGCTCTGCAGGCCCCAGCAATGTGCATATGTGCAGCGGGGGGTGGTGGCGGTTGGAATGTTTGTTTGTTGGCTCGCGCAGTGCCCCGGGGGCTTTCTGCATTATTTGCTCACCTGCTCCCGGGCAGAACACACAGAGCACACCAGAAGACCACATGAAGCGCCTTTGTCTGCAGAAACCAAGAAAGCCTCGAGACAAACGCAAAGCGTTTGATTCATTTTAGGCATATCCAAAGCCACCCCCTCCTAGGCAAAGACCTGGCTGGCCCCTGAATACCTCTGTGGGTCTAGGAAGTGAACCTGTCCCACGGTTGCCATGTTGACTCGGGAAGTCCCTTCCCCGTCACAGCCGGCAAGCTTCCACTCTCCCTTGCTTCTTCCAGGAAACTGGCGATAACAAGCTTCTTACCTCTAAGAACAGAAGTCCTGCTGGATCAGACTAAACATCCCAGTAGGCCAAACAGGCTTCCCAAATGCCCAGGCCGCAGTGGGAAAATCCCCCACCCCCAGTCCCTATCCCCCACCCTCAGGAAATTGAGAAGTGGGAGGGGGAAAATAGTCTCCATGGGGACGCTCTAGGAAATTTCCCTAGCCTCCATGGTCTTGACCACAGAGACTTGGGAACATTTTCAGAGCTTCATCCAGAAGTGACTTCACATCCTCCTCAGACTCCGCCTTCCCCAGACACCACCCCCAACATCTGTGTCAGGCCGGTATTTGCCTAGACAGTTTGGGGATTGCTGAGATCATCTCATTTCTAAGAGTTGCCGGTAGTTGTTCCCAGGAAGCTCTTAAGTAAGGCATAGAGACGACAGCCCTCAGGCAACTGCTGGGCAGAGGTATAGTGGCTCTGAGAAAGGAGATCGCATCTCGCCACCACAGCTAATAGCCACTGACAGAACCACTGACCACAGCTAATAGCCACTGACCACAGCTAATAGCCAGCATTCAATACCCCTAAGCCTAGAAAGCGGATGACAATCCGTCAAGAAGGCCAAACGTGCACTTGATGCAGAATCAGAGGTCATTTCGGGGGGGATCGCGGGGGATCGCAGTTCCCCCGGGTGAGGTACGGGGGGCGGGGCACAT